CTATCCAAAATTGGGATATTATACTCTTCCAGAAGAACATTGCACTCTTCTGAAAGAACAGAACATAGCAGGGACAAATATTCGCCTTGCATTCCTAAGTTAAAAAATAAACACAAATTAACCAATGAATCTTATGCACTCAGATCAATGAAAGAAAGACATTGAATTGGCAGGGTGTTGGATGTTCCATTGTGGTTTATCCAAGTGAAGTGATGATAGTCAATTTTAATTTCCTTCATGTTTACTATTCTACATGACCATTCATGGAATTTCTTTCTTGGAAAACCAATCATTGATTTTGAAAAGTATACGAACATAACCAGCCAAATCGCAACCACTTGAGTTCCCAAGTAGGAAAAGCAACACTGCGTGACTCTCGAAGTTCTGTAGCACCCTGCTCACCTCTGGCTTATCAAATGAAGAGTTAGGATCTCTGGACAGTGATTGAAATCAAATGTTTTAGCCCAAAGGGTCTTGCTACTGTGTAAATCACCATGAAGAAGGTGGAGGAGGAGGGTAATGGCAGCCTGGTGAACATGGCAATGGGAGGCAAAGCCCAGCTTCTGTGTGTGCTAAGATAAGAACACGTGTGAGTCTCCATTTTCTTCTCACAATGCAGGACATCCATGGAACCAATTGCTCTGACACACAGCATTGTTAGCCTCCCAAAGTTCTTTGTTATGATACTTGACAATCATAGTTTTCAATTTCCCATTTGCTTAGAACATCATTCTTAAATTCCATAATTTGTTTTTTCAAGGATCCAATAAAAGGCCTTTCATCACTGTGTCAAAAGACAGTTTGATTGCAAAGTGCTCACTGCTGCAAGTCCATCTATCAGATACTGGACAGCGCAGATAATACTCCACAGAGATAATGAAGAATGGAAGGCCGTAATGAGTATGCAGCACTAAAAACAGTGAAGAAATTAATTCCACTCTGAGCATTTGGAAAATGACTCTAGCACACATTACAGTAAGGCAGAGGTGGCCAGATTTCACTTGGTCAAAGCACACACAATAGCTTACGTTGAGGTAGATCTGTGTACCCCATAGTGAGGTAGTCAGGACCAATGATCACATGCAGATTATGACCCCCTGCTTACAATAATGATGTTCTTTGGGAGACCTGAGCTTTAACAAAACGTGATGTCACAGAGAAAAGTCATCTCAAAGGCTGTAGAGCAAGAAGAGTTGGGAGAGATTTATTTATTTTTCCCATGCATTACACAAGCTCCAGGAATTCCTGAAAGAGTAGTTGATAAAACTAATGTATTTACTGACCACAGAGACTCTGATCAAGGAAACATTCATAGTGAGTTAGGTCTGTAGTGTATTTCTAGAGGAAGCAAGGTGGGGAGGATTCCTTTCTTGGATTGCTAGAAACCTGTTCTGAGGAGGAGGAAATCACTGATTGCTAGAATAAAGATGATACATGGTAGCTTCAGGTTTTGGAGGAGAGTACAAGACATGTTTCTATGAATGTATAAACTGAAAGCATGTAGAGCTATTCATTTTGTTGTTTGATTTTCTTTTTTTTTTTTTTTTTGTTTGTTTGTTTTTGGGTCCGGTCATGGGGCCCGAACTCTGGGCTTGAGCACTGTCCCTAAGCTCTTCAGCTCAAGGCTAGTGCTCTACCACTTGAGCCACAGCGCCACTTCCGGCTTTTTTCTTTTTGCTTATGTGGTGCTGAGGAATCGAACCCAGGGCCTCGAGCATGCAAGGCAAGCGCTCTACCACTGAGCCACCTTCCCAGCCCCTGTTGTTTGATTTTCTAAGGGTTAAGCTATTGATGAAAGATATCTATTCATTAAACTAAGACACTAGTATATTCTCAATTTTTTAGTCATGTTCTTTTTAAAAAAAAATTATTATCTTTAAATAGTTATACAAAGGCCATTTAACAAGGCAGTTTATGAATACAATGCATCTTTAGTTATATGCTTAATAGATTCCAAGTTATAACCTCATAAATAGCAAAAGAACCAATAATCCAATTAATAAATGGGCAAATAAACTGAGGAGACAATACTCGAATAAAGACATGGCTCATAAATATATGAAGTGTTCAACATCTCTAGTCATAAAGGAAATGTGAATGAAAATGACACTAAGATTCCATCTCACCCCAATACGAATGTCACCATCAAGAAAACAGCAAGTGCTAGAAAAAAAAATCATAAGGGAAAGAAAGTCTTACATACATTATTAGTGGGAATGCAGATAATTGGAGACACTGTGGAAATCAGTAAGATTCTTCAAGAAACTAAAAGCAGACCTAATATATGATTCTACTAGCCCATTCTTAGGTACATATCCAAAGGAATGTAAATCAACCTATAAGGGATACCAGACCATCAATGTTTACTGAAGTACTATTTAGAGTAGCCAAGCCTGGGTGCCCCACAACTCATGACTGGATAATTAAAATGTCCTAATATTTATAGTGGAGTATTATGGCACTGTAAAGGAAAATGAAGTTATGTCACTGGCAAGAAAATCGATGTAATTGAAAAGCTTGTCTGGTAAGCCAAGCTCAGAAGGACAAATACTGCAGGTTTTCACTTATATGTGGAATATCTGGATCGAAAATAATAATATACTATGAATACATAATACTTGATTATTAAAAGACTATTTGAGGAACATAGGGTAAAGAACATGGATGGGGTAAATATTACTAGAAGTAATGACATTATTAAAAGTAATGAAAGTAGCATAAAGAAGGTAGCTTTAAAGAAAGGAGAGGAAGTTACAATAAGTAATTCAGAGGGAGTAAAACATAACAATATATGCAGATACAAAAATATCACAATGCAACGCCATTTGTACAATTAACTTACGAGAAAGAGAGAGAGAGAGAGAGAGAGAGAGAGAGAGAGAGAGAGAGAGAGAGAGAGAGAAACCTCCCCTACCAGCTTCTGCCTCCTACTATCCATTCCAGCATAAATCAAGCATGGAATGAAATAGAATGAGAACCCCTGGCCTAGCCATTCTACTCTGCTGATTCTTCAACATACACAGAGACTTTCTTAAATATTCTTTGTTTACTCCTTACCTTTATCACTTGCTAATTACTACCTTTTTCTGCCCTTTTATGCCTATGCCAACAATACTTTGGGGCATTTTATTCTTTTTATGTTCTCCACATTTCTAGAGCAGATCCTAACACATATCAATCTTCAATAAGCATGTGTTAATGAAATCACTGGCTAATTAAAGAAACAAATTATATACTAAATAACAAAGTGAAATGCTAAGGTCCTTGAAGTATTCGGGAAGAAAAGCAGTATGTTTAATATAAATAACTAACTAAACTAAATTGCTATTATTTACCTCTTGTAGGATAAATATTCAACTTTTGCCCTAAGTGTGTGTTGGCTGTTTCTCTTCCCAGTATCAACCATGACAATCAATGACAGTGAACATTAGAAGATCAATCTTTCTCCTCTCTGTGCATAATGCAAACATTTTTAAGTGTCAGGTTTTAGAAGAGAAAAGAGAGGCATATTTGTCAAAGTTAACATCAGTTGTTAAAAAACCATTTTTATGCAATCATTATTTCCTCCATCTTGCAATCACTTATGGAACATCTTCTGTGAACGGGATTTTGTTTTAGACAGGGACATGAGGTCTAAGATACAATCAAAGAGGAACATGCTTTTAGATGTGACCATGAACATTACAAGTGTTTTAAGTGGTGAGGAAAAAGCTATAGGCTGGAAAGTAGGAAGAAATAGAGATAAGCCTTGGGGTAGTCCAAGAAATATATCTAAAGATGGGCATAATAGAAGTAAAGGAAAAGACAACGACTTAAGAAGGGAGAGGGGACAGTAATTCCTTTGTGTCATGTAGTGTGATTACCTTCCACTGAAGCCAGATACAAGCAGCAGCTCTGAGACAGATGTGGAAGGTACCCACTCTTTCTTTGAATTTGAGTACGCCATGATGTCTCATATGATCGTGATCACTTAAAATAAGCATACACTAACAAAAATACCATTCCCTTTGTATTTATTTTATTTTACTTTATTTTTATTGGTCGTGGGGTTTGAACTCTGGGCCTGGGCACTGTCTCTCAGCTCTTCAGCTCAGGGTGAGTGCTCTACCACTTGAGCCACAGTGCTACTTCTGGTTTTCTGGTGATTTATTGGAGATAAGAGTCTCACTGACTTTCCTGCCCAGGCTGGCTTTGAACCTTGATTCTCAGATCTCAGCCTCCTGAGTAGCTATGATGACAGGCTCAGTTCCTTTTCTATTTCCAAGTGCAAAAGTATTTACTTCTGTTACTCTCGGGATACACAGATGACAATTCTGGAGAGTTCTAATTACACTTTCTTAAGTGAATTCACCTCAAGATTTTGATTAAGGTATGTGGCAAAGAGGAGATCTGTAAACAAGATACTGTCAGCATGGCACTCAGAGTTATCTGTCATATGGATTGTCCTGTCCAAGGAGATTGGCAGAACTTTCCCCAATCCGGATGGTTAGCATTATTTGCCCCACTTTATCAGCAATCTTTGGGTATCCAAGATCTGTTCGTGAAGAACACCTTATTAATAACAAGACACTATGTCGTCAGTGAGTGATTGCTGAAAATCCCATTTCTCTCCAAACTCAGTGTTGAAAAAGTAGCCCCTGGCATGTGTATGGCCAGGCACTAGAGGCTCATGCCTGTAACCCTAGAAACTCAGGGGGGGCTGAGACCTGAAGGTCCTGTTTCAAGGCCAGTCCAGGCAGGAAAGTTCATGAGACCCATCTCCAAGGAAGCACCAAAACAGCCAGACGTGGGTGGTGTGGCTCAAGTGGTAGAGGCCATGAGTTCAAGCCCCAGGGCCAAGAAGAAAATGAAAAGGTAGGTGTACATACACCAGGTAGGTGCAAATTCAGGCCCTTGAAAGATGGTGGTTCCATGTTATACAAAAACAAAATAGCCCTCGAGGATTCCAGTGTGGGAAGTTGGCGGACAACTAATCTCTCCCTGTGGTTGATCTCTTCCAGGAATTTCTATTATATCACCATGCTGCGGGACCCAGTGTCACGCTACCTGAGCGAGTGGAAACACGTGCAGAGGGGCGCCACGTGGAAGACGTCTCTCCACATGTGCGACGGACGCAGCCCCACCCCGGACGAGCTGCCCACCTGCTACCCGGGGGACGACTGGTCGGGGGTCAGCCTGCGAGAGTTCATGGACTGCAGCTACAACCTGGCCAACAACCGGCAGGTGCGCATGCTGGCGGACCTCAGCCTGGTGGGCTGCTACAACTTGACGTTCATGAACGAGAGCGAGCGCAACGCCATCCTGCTCCAGAGCGCCAAGAACAATCTGAAGAACATGGCCTTCTTCGGCCTGACGGAGTTCCAGCGCAAGACGCAGTTTCTCTTCGAGAGGACATTCAACCTGCAGTTCATCTCCCCCTTCACGCAGTTCAACATCACCCGCGCGTCCAACGTGGACATCAGTCAGGGCGCGCGCCTGCGCATCGAGGCGCTCAACTTCCTCGACGTGCAGCTCTACGACTACGCCCGGGACCTGTTCCAGCAGCGCTACCGCCGCACCAAGCAGCTGGAGCACCAGCGGCAGCGCCGGCGCCGGCGCCGGGAGCGCAGGCTGCAGCGCCAGCACCGGCGAGCCCACCGCTGGCCCCAGGAGGACGGAGGAGGAGGAGGCGCGGCCACCGACGGCACTGTCACCGAGGACTACAACAGCCAGGTGGTGCGATGGTGACGCCCCCACACACACCCCATCCCACCCCTGCCCTCTCCTGGGGTGGGGAGATGGGAAAGAGGATCCATCGGGGCAGATGCCCGGACACACATACACACCCCACCCACATTTGGTGGCATTCTGCTTGGAGAAGTTGGGCCCTGTGCGCTTAGAGCTCTGGCCATCTGGCTTGGCTATGGCTGGATTTGGACAGCGGAGTGTCCTCTTTTTGTCTTTATTTGTATCCAGCTGGAGATTAGCCATCTTGTCCTGACTTCTTCTTCTTTCCCCCTCTTCCCCAATTCAGTGAAAAGAAAGCAGGATGGGAATGAAGCTGACATCAACCGCTTTAAATAGTTCATGGAGAAAAGCAGCAGCAAAATAAAGGACATCATGGGGGTGGGATGGCTTTTTGGGTGCTTGGAACCCACACACGTGACTATGACTGGGATACTCTGCTTCACCTGGCCTGGCCTGTTTCATAATGTTGCTGCCATGGAGTATTGATCAGAGAAGCTGAAGAAGGGGAGAAGGGGAGGAGGCGAGGCGGGAGAGGGAAAAGGAGAGGGAGGAGAACGAGAAGGGAGATCCTGCCACCCTTATCTGAGGCTTCACACCGACTCTTACCTGGCTGCTAAAAAATGTTGAACCCTAGGTGAATGTGAGTTAAACCATAAGTAATGTGTTTCGTTGCTGCATTTTTAAAAATTACTTTACTGCTCATCATCATCATCATGGCCCCAAGAACCCCAGCTGATGTTTTCCATCTCTGAAGGAGTGGGAAGTGTGCCTAGCATGGTCGTGACCCTGAGCAATGAACCTGGTGGGACACATAGGAGAAACTTAACTAGTTACGCATGCTGCAGGGAGATCACACTTACAAACCAACCTACTTTAATAGTTCGCCATGAGGAATTCATGCTCAGTTAAGCACGGGAAACAATTAGAAGGAAAACTACATGTCTCCCCTTCCCACACCAGCTACAAAATTCATACATTTTTGCAGGGATATTTCAGAGTGTAGCCTCTTTGCTGCAGTCACTTTCTCTGGTCTGGTCCTACCCGGGTGGAAATTCCATCATCCCTAAAGAAAAAGTACTTAGAAAGAACTTGGCCTAAAGGAGTATAGTTAGCATGGACACCAAGTACATTTGCAATAACCACATGAACAATAACGCTGATTTGGCCAGGAGCCATGGAGTTTGCATTCATGTAAACTTGTCCCTGGGGCTGGGCCAGATGTTGCACCAATGTCTTGAATATGTCTAACCTCATGTCTCTTTCTTCCCATGTGATCTTCACCTACTCGGAGAGTGTGGTTACAGCCAATAAATCAGGCTTCCAGCATTCAAAGTAGAATCAAAAGGATGCTGTATTGCCAAGAACTCATTTTTTTTTTGCCTTTCCCCAATCACAAGTGTAATAGCACAAATGTTCTTAACCACCAAAGGGGAGGAGTGTAGAGGAGGGAGTGGATGCCTTCGCCTCGTGTCCAATTGGAAGATCAGAGCCGGTGGAAAGTTTCAAAACACATTGATATGATCAATCGCTTCAAGGCGCTGGAGGCAAAATGAGTGAGACCCTAAATCAGACAGAAAAGCCTGTTCCATTGATGTGCAGCATGTTTGATGTTTAAGCTAGCTTTACTTAAGCTACTTCTCAGCCTCCAGAATGCTCTCTCTGGGGCCGAGAGTCAATCAACCCCCTCGCCTGCTTGGAGTTCCTACTGCAGAATGGAGAGCCAAGAACCCCCACTGAATGCAAACCTGGGTGCTTCTCTCACGACCCTCACGACCCTGAGCTTCCTCTTCCAGAAACATCTTCTTGGGTAGCTCCCGTTTGCCACCAACTGAAGGAGACTCCCTTGACAGACCACCAGTACATTCTGCTTCCTGGGGTAGATCATCATCGCATCACATCAATGAGAAAGGGAAGGGCGCAGGTTACAGAGAGCTTCCTACGGATAGTGAGGTTTGCCTCGCTGACTGCAAGCATGAGTTCTCTTACTCCCTCCTGGCTCTGCTGCCCAGAGCTTGCTGCCAATCATGCAACGAAGCTAGCTGTTATTACCCTAAAGTGATTGACCCTAACCCAGGCACAACTGTGAGAGCAGGAAGCTAGCAGTGCCCCGAAGCTGTGCTGCCCTGGGGAGGGGACACTGGGTCAACAGTGAGGGAAGGGGAGCTCTGCACACTGCCCATTCCTCAAGAAGCTGAGTTCTCTGGCTTCTTAGGAAGCTGTACTTTTTTAGCGACATGCAAGAGTGTATTTACAAAAACAGGCATAGAAATATAGCATCCTAGTTGGTAGAGATGGGGGAAGGTGGTCACAAAATATTAGTAACTACCTGATAACTAAGGAAGGGAGGAAAATGCATCCTCTCTCTCTCTCTCTCTCTCTCTCTCTCCCCTCTCTGTCTACCCCCCACAAACACACACTGCATCATGTGGAAAAATCAAAACAATCTGGATTGTTTCTCTGGAGCACGCTTTCCATTTGGGGCAGGGAATGTATGCAGGACAGAGAGGTGCACCTGCAAACTTCACGCTGTTCCATAGGGGTGGTGAGGTTTGCAGCAAAGGTTCTCCACTGCCTTGCCACTCCAGGTAGGATGCATGGTGCTCCACTTCAGCCCCCTGAGCAGGATTTGCAGAAGAGAACCATCCCTGTGTTGGCCCCTGGCCAATGCTGAGCAAATTAAAAAGACCCACACAAGCTTCCTCTCTCCTATCTTTCCATTCAAAGCTGCACTTGTGTCATATCCCTGGGGTCCTGTGTAGCTAGAATGGAGAGGGAGATGCATTGTGTTCTCTGAGAGCCGCTTCACAAGTACAGGCAGGGGGATGCTCAGAAACACAGCCCGGGAAAGACATATGAAGCTAAGGAACCATGAGGCTCAGCGGCTTTAACAAGAACATTAGGTACATTCGTATCCAAAACTCAAGGGGAGAGAGGGGGGTGGGGGAAGGAGAGAGACATACACAGAGACAGACAGAGACAGCAGAGATAACAGAAGGGGATGGAGAGAGGAGTGGAGAGAAGAAAAAAACGATGAAGAGAGGAAGAAAAGAGACAAGGAAAGGGAGAGGAGGAAGGAAAAGAAGAAAGGAAGGCAGGCAGGCAAGAAGGAAGGAAGGAAGGAAGGAAGGAAGGAAGGAAGGAAGGAAGGAAGGAAGGAAGGTTTCTCCTGGAGTTCTACGTTCTATAGACTTCTGGAGACATTTCTTCTCTTGGCATCGGTCATTTTATGAAGCAGACTGGGATATGTATTTGTGTGGTTCTGTGACGGGTATGGTTATCAAGGAGTAAGATATACACTGTTTTATCTAATTCTGACTTTTCCTACTGTCCGTAACAAGAGGAAATAATTGAAAACCTTATCAATATGTCAAACAACAAACAGGGAAATCATGTATGCTATTGGGGATTATAAAGACATGTGAATAGTTTGAAAAAAAAAAGATTTGAAAAGTGAAAGCTTATTTGATTAAATCTTTCCAAATAGAGAGTATACAAACAGAGAAGACTTTTTTTTCTTTCTGAAAGAAAAGAGACAAACCAATAGTAAGTCTAGTAAGTCTATTGGGTAGTATTCCTATTTGACTATTTTAACAGAGACATTCAATAGTAATTTAATAAGACTGAAGTTTTCTCCTTCCCACTTAAGACAAATAGGTTTGGTAACCCTTTTCTATGACATTGCCTGAAACTTGTGTCCTCGTTTACTGCTCTTTTGTTTTAAACTTACGGTACAAGATGGCTGGTCTGCCACCTTTCATCTTTCCTTTACGATAGAGAGGAACTAGAGGAAAGTATCACTTGCAATCACATTTCAGGCTAGGACCCACCTGGGCACACCTGGACAATGTTGTGATTACTTTTTACCAGTTACCTTGAGAAGGGTGTTGGCTCTATCACTAAAGAAACAATGTGAAAAGTAATGCTGATAGAAACATATTCTCTGACACAAAAGAATAAGTTTAAAGAAATACTTCAAGTGTCATTTATTTCCTCATATCCATTTTACAAAGGGTAAGCTTAAAATCGCTTGATCTGTAAAACATTCAAGGCTTTTCTTTTCTTTTTTTTGGGGGGGGGTCCGGTCATGGGGCCTGAACTCTGGGCCTGGGCACTGTCCCTCAGCTCTTCAGCTCAAGGCTAGCGCTCTACCACTTGAGCCACAGCGCCACTTCCATCTTTTTTTCTTTTTGCTTATGCAGTGCTGAGGAGTCGAACCCAGGGCCTCATGCATGCAAGGCAAGTGCTCTACCACTGAGCCACCTTCCCAACCCCTCAAGGCTTTTCTAAACATTTTTATACCTAGCATTTCGTTTGTCCTCCCTCCCATTCTTGCATGTTAAATTGGATTTCTGTTCCTTACTCTGTTTGGTCACTTGGAGTGGAGACTCAGAACTGCTGAACAATTTCCCAAAGATTCTCACGATTGGGCATGAAAGCTGTTCTGAGTCTCAAACTTCCACCTTCATAGTCTGTGCTGCAACTTCATGCTGTCCATCAGTGTTGGGATTGAAAATGGAAAGAATATGAAATAAATCTAAGTCTATTGATCTGCACCTCCCTTCACCTGGCTGTAGAGCTGTAGTGATGTAGGAAATGTCAAGGAGATTAGAGGAGTTGACCCTTAACTCTGCATCCCCAGTGTATTGGGTGGGTGGGGCTGGTTGGGGATGGGGTGTTGTATTAGAAGTAAAATGTCCAACAGATGAATGTGGAACAGATGTAGAAACACTCAAACTCAAGAAAGACATCCAAACTCCTCTAGCTGAATTTCCACCCTATTCAACCCTGAAACTATGCAAGATGGCGTCCAAGAGAATTGTCTCACAGTCCTGTGGGGGAAGCATAGTGTTAGACGTTTTCAGATTCAGTCGCTGCCTGTTAGGGAAGTTTAAAGGCTAATCAATAAAACCCTGCTCATAAAGTATCTCTCTTTCTCTACTCCTTCTTTCCCAGGTCCCTAGTACTTTATCAGCAACATATTGCTTTAGTTCTCAGAGGTT